ATATCCAAAATTTATAAAATACCTGAGCACCACAACAAGATAAAGATAAATAATCCAATTGGAAAATGGGCACAGGATATGAACAGACACTTCACCAAAGAAGATATTCAGATGGCCAACAAGCACAAGCAGAAATGTTCAAAATCCCTAGCTCTAAGAGAGATGCAAATGAAAACAATTATGAAATATCATCTCACCCCAGTCAGAATAGCAAAATTTAACAGAACAGCAAGCAACAAATGCTGACGAGGTTGTGGAGAGACTGGAATCCTTAGTCACTGTTGATGGGAGTGTAAAATGGTATACAAGCACTGTGGAAGGCGGTATGGTGTTTTCTCAAAAAGTTGCAAATAGAGATACCATTTGACCCACAATTCCACTACTGGGAATATACCCCAAAGAGACCATAACTGACATCCAAGCAGATATATGCAGAACCATGTTTATCGCGGCTTTGTTCACGATAGCAAAAAGTTGGAAACAACCTAAGTGCCCATCAACAAATGAATGGATAGAGAAGCTGTGGTATATTCAAACACTGGAATACTATGCTGCATTGGTTATACATAATCTGCATATCACAGTATTCGTTTCTTCTTGATGCCATCTTCTTTTTAGATAGTCTAGTTTCTCATATTGTTTACTCAACATACAGATTTAATAAGTAAATGAAGGTAAAAGATACAAGCCTGATTTTATAAACCTTTCAGTATTCCTTTGTTCTGTTAGATAAATTTATCAACAGACAAGTGGTACTTATTTATGTACAAATTGTCCCTTTATCTAGGTACAGGTTGCATTTGAAAATAATTGCACATTCTAGAATTATCATTCTTTGCAAGGTTATTTATAAATTATTATGATAAATATACTCAAAAGACTTTATATGCTGTCATTGTTAGAAGAAACCAAATCAACCACCTAGTTACCCTATAAACAATAGATTGAATTTTTACCCTAATCTGTGCCATCCTCGCACTCTCCAACATACTCAAGCCTATTCTTACTAAAGTTGCTGTATCATTTCATTTTTCCCCCCTCTCTTTCTCTGACCCTTCACTTTTTTCAGGACTTTGTCTTTTTTTAAGAACTAGCCTCTCCTGACAACATGTCCAAAGTAGGTGAGAAAGAGTTTCATCATCCTTATCTCGAAGAGGCACTCTAATTGCCCTTCCTCCAAGATGGGCCTGTTTGGTTTTTTTTTTTGTTTTTTTTTGTTTTTTTTTTTGGTAGTGCATCAACGATGCTTTAGGCAGAATGTTAAATGATACAGGAGGTATCAAAAGAAGATGGAAGGAATATACTGAGTCTTGTATAAAAGGAATTGGCAGATACAGAAGAATTTAATGAAATAGCATTTGAGC